TTTTTTTTCGGTTGATATGCATGGCAAAACAAAAAAAAAAAAAAAAAAAAAAAAAGGAAAGAAAGAAAGAAAGAAAGAAAGAAAACAGCAAAAGCTGATAAACAAAACAGTTAGGTTGGTATGTGTAGTATTACGCACAGCCGGGCGGGCAATGACACCTGGGGGAGTGGGGCATGCCAACTGCCTCAGAAAAGTTGAATCTCATTATCATTCACACAGGGAGGGACGGGGGGCTATTTCTTTTTCTGGGGTTTAAAGGGGTTTAAAGGGGTTAATGGGGGATATACTGTGCACCTGAGGTAATCTCTGCTGCAGACATCTTGTTCTGAATGTAATGGCAGGTCTGCAGCACTTTGTAATAAGCGCGGATGTCATAACTACGGGGGCGTGCTGAAATGATTAGACGGCGCGAGTTCAAAAACGGCAAAAAAATAATAATAATAACAGCCATTTTTTAATTCTTTGTACTTTTTTCTATTTTTTAAAACTTTTTTGAACTTTTTTCAAGTTTTTTGCCCATTCTGAACTCTGCCGGTGGCAAAACTGCCAGTACGTGTTTTTTTTCTACACATTTGAAACTAAAAAAATAAAAATCATTAAAAAAATGTGATGTTGCCGCTGTTTTCTCAAAGAAGAAAATTGTTTGGATTTTAATTTCAATTGTTTCACACAATATAATAAGTTAATAAGTTAATAACAACAATAATAAAATAAAATAAATATTCAGATATGTGAACTTTTGGGCCCTGCTACAAGGGTGGCGCCCCATCTGTCGAGAATGGCTGGAGGCCTTCCGGCCCCTGACTTTTTGCTCGTACAAGTACTCGAGTACTTTGCCTTGTGCATTTTTTTATTTTTTCTTATGTTCTCTGTATCGTACTATCGTTCCAATTTATGTGATGTGTGTAACTTTTTTTGTTTTTTTTGGTTTTTTGCGCAGAGACCCTTAGGCAGCAACTGGGCTGGTGTTGTTGCCGAGCTTGGTACCCAGGCAAGCACCCCTCCCCCGTCTTCACCCCAAGTGAACGGCCGGTCATTATAGCTGAATTCAGCCCAACTGTGTGTCTGCATACAGTGAAAATCAAAGCATCTCGACAATACCAACCCAGCAGTAGTGCCCGGCCAATCCAGCGACAAGCAGTTTGAAAACGCCGATGCTTGTGAATTACCCCGCGGCAAGTGCCAGCTAAATCATTCTGAATTACCTGGGGCCGGTCAGTTCAAACTTCAAAGCCGATATCTCAAGGCCGTTGCCCTTTCCTTTTTTGTCTCTTTTTTTTTTTTAAACAATGCCAATGCTTTTAATTTGCCAGTTCACATGGCGTCATCATCGACAAGCAAGTCGCCAAAAAACGTTCCTGTGGGCAGCGCCACCTCCAGCGTGATACAATTGAACCTCCAGTACCTCCGAAAGTCGTGGCGGTATACGAGTGACGACGATCATGAATGAACCGGCCACTGCGGGAGCGGCCAAATTCATCCGACTAGAAACGCTTCGTCTTTTTTTTTCCATGCGGCCGAGATATGGGAAAGGTACTGGTGGTTTAAGGGCCTCGCTCGACTGTGAAACAATTTACATGCATTTGCACGTTTTGGGGCCAGGTGTATTCGGACGATTCCAGCGTTTTGAATGTATCTGGTCGAGAAAAGCGTCCAAATGCATGTAAAGTGTTGTGGAGTGGGCCGAGGCCCTGAGTAACACATTTTTTACAGCGACCTTGGTCCATGCCTCGCGAATAAACAGAAGGAGACCGTGGATGCCGACGTCCCAAATCAAAATGTACGAAGGAGACTGTGGATGCCTACGGTTTAAACCACCAGTACTTGGCCCAGCTATCGGCCGCAGGAAAAAATAGAGTAGAAACGTTTCTAGTTGGATGAATTTGGGCGCTCCTGTAGTAGCCGGTACATTTCCTAAAATCGTGGCGCATTAACGGGCACAACTCTAGGAAGTACTGGTGGTTTAAATCAAAAATGTACAAGCGCCTGAGATAGGCCACTCGGGAAAAAAAAAAAAAAAAAAAACGTGGATGCTCTCGTATCAGCACCTTTAAACATCCACAAGGGTTTTTTTGAAAAAAGAAAAGAAAAGAAAAAGAAAAAACGTGGATGATCTCGTATCAGCACCTCTAAACATCCACAAGGTTTTTCTTTTCTATTTTTTTTAACAAAAAAAAAGAGTTCTTAAATGTCAGTCACAGAACAGGAAATGGAGGAAAGGAACAGGACGACACCGAGTCACAACCATGGAAAAGGAGATAGTCGGCGCGAAAAGAAAAGATAAGAAAAAAGCGAAAAATCCAAAGTCAAAGAGGAGAAGAGAAGGAGAAAGAAGGAGAAACTTGTACCTGCAAGGAGACACGGGAATCCGCCGAAGTGACCATGCCCTGTTGGGATCCCCACTGCTTGCCAGGCACCCTACCAAGGCCTGCTCCATGACCTTTTCACAGAACCGGCCACGCCCCTTTCCCTTTTGGGCGTTCAGGTAGGGCCCTTCTTTCCGTGGCACTACTGGGAGGCCTTTTTTTTTTCTTTTTCTTTTTTTGAGCTTGTGTATTTTTTAGCTGTATCCCTCCGTAGTTTGGTCATTACCATTATAGGCTTCAACCACCCACCTGGGGCGAGGTCCCACTAGCAAAGGGGATTGGACTTGACGTCAAAATCTGGACCTGTGCAATGAACCCAGATCGTGACGACACTTGTCAACAATGCAAGCCCAGACGAATATAAACCTGCTGATGATTATCAATAATCATAATCGTGTCCAGATAGAATGAGATGGGAAAATCATACACAGACGAAGGAGAGAGGAGGGAGATTAGACTTAGAAGAAGAATAAAAGACAATGCCCACTTCTGCCTCGGGCTCCCTCCTCGATCACCACCTCAATAATCAATAATCTGAACGCACATCTGAGGTTCTATCACAATGTGCCACGTGGCACGTCAATCAGTCCTCGTCAGCGAGCGGGAGCAATGTTGACATCAAGATAACCAGGTACGTATCCACTATCGCCCCACAGTCATGATCTCCTCCCGAATGTCGTCGAAATAGAACAGCAATACCAGTCGCATAGCCTCCCCACGTCAACAATAATAATATACATGGCAGCGGCCACGTCAGCGGCGGCGGCGGCGCGTGGCAGCTGCCACGTCAGCATGCCCTGAAGACAATATCAAGCCAGCCACCATGCCGAGCCAGCAAAGCGTCGCCGTAGTTCCGCCCAGTTGCCAGCTTAGAGCCAGCGTCCAGTCAGCGCCGCAGCGTAGCGCTAGCGTCGCAGCGTCGCGCTAGCGTCGTTGTCAACGCGTGAAGTCAGCATGGACACAAGACAGAATGTTCTTCGAAGCCAGGAGGTCAATGCGTATGTAGCGTTGATGCGGGGTCTGGACCCAAGGTGCTGCATCCCTCAGCCGTCGAGATCTCAACGCTAATGACGCCCCAGCAACAGAATTCCTTGTGGCCTTGATGCTGTCTGGGTACCTGCGCACAACAAGTGAGTGCATCTGACCAAGGGCCTGGGCGCGGTACATTTGACCTGACAGTTGACTTGGACCCTTGACTTTCCAGGGGGGGCAGTTCGTGGTCGCACTGTCTGGCGCAGGCCGTGTTTGGTCTGTGTGTGTAGTCTGGGCGCAGTTTCGGGCCCCCAGACTGCTGCAGAACACGGGTTTCTGCACCTGTTTGTGGAGAGGTGCAGAAATCGTGAGTGATCTTCTTTTCTGGATCCATCCAGGTTGAGGTGTTTAATCCAATCTTCTTTGCTAGTGGGACCGTGCTCCTGGACCACGTTCCCATTAAAAAAAAAAAAAAAAAAAAAAAAAAAAAAAAAAAAAAACTGGGAACAGTGCTCGAGTGCCGTGAACCGTGATGTGTATTAGGGATTGAAAAGGAATTGTTGGTAATATCCCTAATACACGTTGAACTTGAAGTTGAAATGAAGATGTGCAGTGAACCTAACTACCAGTTCGAAGAGAACAAGAAGTGACAAATCCGAAGCAGTTCTCGCAGATGTAGAACAAATACACAAGTCAAACCAAAAGTCAATGAAAACATTAACAAACGTCAATGAAAGCATTAACATGTCTCGGGGTTGGCGTCCCCGATGCCGCGTTTTGGCAACCGCCACGTTGCCTTCATCAGGGGGTTTCAACCGGACGTCTCCACGTCATCAGTTCCATCTACGCCACAAACCCGCTTCCTTGCTGTCTATACTCGACCCTCCGGAGAGTCAAAAAATACATCGAGCTCCGTCAGCCCTGAATGAGAGGTCGACTACCTGTGTATTCAAACCTTATATGTGTTACCCCGAAACATGTATCCTGCCCGAAAGCAGTCG